ATTAACCGTTTGTGTGTGTGCGTGTGAGCGGCTCAAGAGCGAGGAGGACGTCGTCGTCGTAGCCGTCGCCGTCGCCGTAGTCCGTGGATTTTGACGTCGCGCTGGCTGGGAAAGCGAGAAACTGGCGCTATACGAGTGCGTGATCATGATCGAGCGATAATGAAGACGATAATGAAGCTGGCGGAGATTGGGCGAAAGCCCCAGCCCCCGGCCCACCCCCTACTAAGCTTGAGTGGGCTCCGGGAAGAAAGAGAGAGGGCACCGAGCCGACGCGGAGAGCGAGTGGCAGTCTCATTTGCTCTCAAGTGGAACTGCCGAAGAAAAACGACGACGAGCCACGAACGAACCAAGTGGCAATGTATCTGTATCTGTGCGAACGGCCGTATCCGAACCGAGTATCTGAGTGTCTGAATCAGGTAGAGGTAGACAGAAAGGCGTTAGTCGTCCAACAGCGCTGATCGAGTTTAAATCTATTGGGCCGCACGGAACGCAATGAGCGGCGGCGTTTTTGGCGTAGAACTGTCAACCAGAACTGACAAAACTGAAGACCCAAGCCAAAGTTCCTAGCGGGAGCTTTTAAGGAAAACTGAGACAATTAGACAGTTTCGCGACGCGTGAAGCCCCGGATCGGAAATCACAAATGATCACTGATCGACGTTAATCGGTAAACAAAGAAATTAATGCATAAACGGTGCGTGAGTGTGCCAAGCGTGCCGAGTGTGCAGAGTGTGCAGAGAGTGTGTGTGGTGTGCGGGGTGCTGGTGCTGATGCCGTGCCGATGCTGGGTGTTTGGAATGTCAACTGACGGGTTGTAAAGGGAAACCCTGAAATTCGAATAGCCGACAGCCAAAGCAAATAAAGCAGTGAATACGAAATTCGAAATAATTCAACAAACAGATAAAGCTACAGATACATTCAAAGACTGGGAGATACTGAAGATACAGCTACGGCTAGTGTGTAAAGTCCGCCTCAAATTCGGATGGTCGGAAAATTGAAAATTCGGAAACAAGTAAAAACATTTGTGTGTGTGTGAGTGTGTCAACTGGAACTATGTGGATAACGTGCAAACTGTTTGCAGAAAAGGCAGCTGAAACAACCGAAACCAAATCAGAGACAACACAAGCCCGCTGCCAGGGAGAGCGCGGGAGCGGATCGCCGCCAATGGCTAGAAAGTGAGCCTCTGGATGACAAGTGCAGCATCCGCCTCCGTCAGATACATGTCATGTGCCGCGGCGTCCTGACCGCTGCCACCTCTCTGACCACTCACTTCGAGCGACCTGCGGTGCGCCTCGAATGCTGCAACACTATTTCCAACAAGAACTGGCTCAGCTTCATCTACAATTATCGCAAGCGGAAGCTTCGCAAAGCAGCGGCGAAAACAGAGGCAGATTCGGATTCAGATTCAGATTTAGATTCAGACTCGGACTCGGATCCAGAAGCCAAACGAAAGCGAGAAGGAAAAACAATAATTGTAACAGTAGCAGTTGCCCACACAAAGAAAGAGACAGGCAAACAGAAAAAGAAAAAAAGCGGTGGCGAAGAAAATCCCTATCAGATATTTACACAAACGTGATTTATTTGAAAAGCGAAACGGGAAGCCTCGAATGCCATAAACATCTGTAAATTGTGCAAATATATCCGAATCCGAGTGAAACCAAAAGCCGCTCGCTGCGATTACGGATCCGATTCCCACTCCGATCCCATTCCCGATCCCTGACTCGATCACGATTCCAATCCCGATTCCAGACGTCATAAATTCAGTGGAACGAAAAGTGTCAGCCCAGTTGAACGAGACAGTTGGTCGCGCTCCTATTTTGCTGGCTTTTCGGGCAATCCATCAACAGACAATATACAATATACATATACGATATCTGCGCCGGCGGTGCCCAAACGGCTTTCGAATTAATAACCGAACACATGTCGTATCAATATTCGACTTAAGCTACAGATACGGGCCCCCGGAGATCTAATATCAGGCGATATCACTCGACCATAGGAAACTTTATAAGACTGAGGTGAGTGCCGAGCCCTGCCCGGTTGAGTTTTCCCCAGGTCTCCGGGTCCCCTGTTTTTTTTTTTTTTTTCGCTCCCAACTTACTTCTCTCCCGATTTTCCCGCGGCCACCTTAATCGGCCCAGTAAGCTTATGTAAATTGTGGACAAGAAGTTACAATGGGGTGGAGGTGAACCGAATCTGAACTTGCTGTGAGAACCGAACACAGAACTGACTCATTGCATAAGGAGAGCTATGCACTTGATATCACAAAGTTAATTTGATATTGAAAATGCTTGTCGCTGTTCGGCTGGATCACCATGTCGATGGCATGTGGCATTCACATTGTGTTCTGGCCAAAAAGTGTGAACACAGTCGGCGGGGGACATTCGAAACTAAAGTTTTTGGAATTTAATTGTTCAGGGTCATTTATATGAAATTGAACTCGGGCTTCGCAGCACTTGTTATGCTGATCAATAAAGCGGAGTCGGTTCCGAGAACTCCACCATTTGTTCTGCAATTATGTGATTCCAAAACGAAATTTAATTGAGATGAGCCAAGTTCTAATCCGACCAAATCACTTGTATTTCCCGCTAATGGGGCGTGAGCGGTTCACACCTCACTGGCCAGCTAACTGCCAAGCCACTCTCGGCAACGCTTAATCACAATATTTTCCCCACATATATCATAATTCCTGGGTGCACCTCGGCACCTGTCAGCCGAATTCCTAGAACCCCTGCGACTATTGTTGGCCAGCACAATGAGATACCGTTCTGTTTCTGTATCAGAACTAATATCCAGTTATGGGAGCGTCCTTTAAAAAGTCGAAACACGAACTCTTGAAAGGGCATAAAAAGCGACGAACACAAAACAAAATGTCAAATATCCTGAAACATAAATAATCGAACAGAGTATAGAGTCCTTTGTATCGCTCAGATGCGTGAGTGTCCATGGGTGACTACGGTGGCGTTTATTACTCCAAAACCAAAACCGATCCAAAATCGCTGACATTGTGTGGCATAGATTCCCAAATTAATATTTACCTCACTTTCTGGTGTGCGAGTATCTTGGCTATTGGGTAACCGGATTGAAACGTTAATGACAAAAAATATGTGTCAATTTGCGAAACACTTTCGGATTTCTGATTTCGGATTGTCGGTGCTGCCACGGAGCTGAAATTTGAACTTTAGCAGAGGCTTGCGACATTTCACAACTCGAATTGAGCTGAGTGCGATTTATAGACGCAGTCGGATCGGATCTAGTGTCTGGTGTCTGCTATCTGGTTTATAGTTCTGACGGATTCGCTGAATGGACCGCGAGCTTGGAAATTCCAGGGAGCGCCAGGCATTCATCGAAGACCAGTCGCGTAGGGGAAACCCCCGGTCGGGACTCACGCAGATCACACGTCGGTCAGGTAGAGGTGGAAATCGTAGAACCACGATATATATACAGCCAACTGATACTTAAACCACACGCAACAGCCCACGGACTGGGAATTCTGGGAACATATTAAAAACAAACAACAAATTATGAACAAATCATAAACAAATTTATGAAATTTAATTTCATTCACCCTTTCCCCAGGCTGGTATCTCCCCGATCTTTCCTAATTTTTCCCAATTTCAAGCCCCGTCTTATCAAGGCCCTGAGATCTATTCGCTCTCCCCCGGAATACTCATATTTTCGAGTTCTTGCTTGGTTCTTGGTGCTCGGCGCTCAGTGCACCCCCCAGCGTGTGCCATCTTTTCCAATTTCCCGATTCCAATTTAACCATTTTCGAAAATTCCTTTTACGCCTAAGCGCCCTGTCATATAACAAATTTTCTTTTTTTTTAGTACAAGATAAGATGTTAATCTTTATGTGAAAAACAACATGTAATTTGTTCAAGGTGACTGTGTGCGTGAGCGGGTATGGGTGCTGGCATGGATATGTCCCGGTGTGTGTGTGACTCGTTTACCTTTTTCCAACTGGTCCGGGCCCGGGACTCATCTTGAGATAAAATCTGGGAAATTTATTGCCTATAACCAAAATATATAGAATACTTCTAATAATTTTCATAAATTTTCCAGATAAGTTCGTTTTGTGTCGCTTTTTGTGCATTTGCCGCCTGTTTGTAAATCAAAGCGCAGCGATAAGTGAAATACGGCGATCGAAGCTACTCTAATAACCAAAAACCAGGAGGGGTTGGGGGTGGTTGATGGGGGATGGGCCATGGGCGATTGGCGATGGGGTATGGGGTATGGGGTATAGGGTGGCTATTGGGTGCTAGTGCATTGGATTGAATTTCTATTAGTAGACATAAAAACGGTTCAGCTGGTATGCCGAGGTGGCCCAAAAGATCGAGTGTCAGTGCAAGGGGTGCAATGTCCGCCTGCAATTGCAACACTTGTGCCGGAGGTCGGAGCACGGGAAAGGGGTATGCCAGGAGAAAGAGACAAAGCGAGAGAAAGGGATAGGTGCAACCATTTTTTTAAGGTGCACCTTTCACGCCAGTGGGTCGTAAAACTTTTGGGCAGGCGCTACACTCTCTCGTCTCAATCTCAAATGGGCCAAAAGGAAGCGCAGCCGCAGCCGCAGCCGCCGTCGTCGTCGACGTCATTGCTTCTGCTAGCGTCGACGTCAGCGTCGACGCTTCTTACCTGCCGAAGAAGAATAACCGATCCGTAGACCAGATCGGACGGCTCGTTCAGTCGAGCAGCGCACGTCGTCCAACACACACACACACGACACACACACCGAGAGACAGACACACTCGCAGATATTGCAGACAGATAGTATCTGTCAGATACAAAGAGTCGGGCTCTTCCTGTCGTCCCGCTTGCACCAATGTGAACCTGAGCGTGAGTGAGCGAGTGAGATTTGAGTGAAAGAGCAGTGAGAGGTTCCGCACCCTACGATACTGATACCGATACCGACTCCGAACCGATCCCGATCGGTTCAGATCGGCATAGCATAGTGCATAACCCTTTCTGGCTGTCGCTTAACCCATGTCTTTTGTTTCGTTTCAGAGTTGCAAGCGACCATGCGCGCATGGCTTCTACTCCTCGCAGTGCTGGCGACTTTTCAAACGATCGTTCGAGTTGCTAGCACCGAGGACATCTCCCTGAGATTCATCGCAGCCATAGCGCCTCCTCCTAAGATATTACAGCAGCCGCAGCCGCAGCAGAAGCAGCCAGCTGGACCGCAACAAACAGCATTAGCAAAAGCATTTAATCCATTCAACGAACCGCTCTACACCAGCAGTGATAGTGATAAAAGCCATCTGAGTAAAAGTCTAAAGAGCAACAAAAACAAGGCTAAGAAACCTAGCAAAAGTGACGCGAACCGACAGTTTAACGAAGTGCATAAACCAAGAACAGACCAATTAGAAAATTCCAAAAATAAGTCTAAACAATTAGTTAATAAACCCAACAAAATGGCTGTCAAGGAGCAGATGAAAACTAAACAAGTTAATCAAAACAAAAAGCAACAGGAGCCACCAGCTCCCAGCACAGAATCTCATCAATCGACGGCTGAGTCTAGCGTCATGGAGCACCTAGAGCCAGAACCAGAGCCCGTCCTGGTCCTGGACAAGGAGGTGGCCTCCATCAAGGTGCCGGCCAATGCCGAGGCCATCATCGCCGAGAAGGGGCCGTCCACCTACAGCAAAAAGGAACTGATCAAGGACAAGCTCAAGCCGGATCCCTCCACTCTAGTCGAGATCGAGAACAGCCTGCTCTCGCTTTTCAACATGAAACGCCCGCCGAAGATCGATCGCTCCAAGATAATCATCCCGGAGGCAATGAAGAAGCTCTACGCCGAGATCATGGGCCACGAGCTGGACTCGGTCAACATCCCCAAGCCAGGACTACTGACTAAGTCGGCAAACACAGTACGAAGTTTTACACACAAAGGTGAGTCCTTTTCCAAATAATTTTTTTATTTGAAATATAAAGGGGCCTATTAAGAGAATAAAATGATGGTCTAGAAATTTCTTGGCGTTACATTTCTTACAAAAAACTTAAAATAACGTTAGTCAAATGCATTTTTAAAGATTTATCTGACTTGCCAGATTTTCATATCCCCTTAGAAATCGTATATATTCAAATCACATTTATAAAAATAAAAAAAAAAAAACAAGAAAATAAAATTTTAGATTGAAACCTGCTAAAATCAAAGTATGCTTTTAAAAAGATAGATTTTTATTGGCAATATCTAAAAACCACTTCGATCTTAAGAATTTCAATCAAATGTAGATCATTCAGGTTTTTTCCTCTAACTCTTCGAGCGATTTGTTTTATAAATCGTATAAATATTTGCATTTAGGTTCAGGAACTAACCAATATATTTGAATATATGAAAATATTGTAGTTTTATCGTTTTATTAGCAAGGGGTTAAATTGTATTCCTTACCTAGACTTTCCACCTGCTACCGCGTCGCCAAAGGCTCCTACTTATCGTGTACAGAATATTAAGATTTTCACTCATTTCACCACGTACTTTCCGATACAAAAATGCGAATGAAGAGCATCCAGGATTTTCCCTGAAATTCCGTTTCATCTAAGCGATTTGCATACCTGCGTTTGACGCGTTCTGTCCTTTTTGGCGAACCCGACCTGTATCATTCACGCAAGCGCTGTGAAATCACGCGGAATTTCCGCGGCTGTCCAAAATGGACCAGAGACGTGGGCCGAAAGGACACTCATGTGTCCTTTTACCTGCCCAACCCGCGATGTCAGCCCAAACGTGACCTTGAAATATTTCCTCGGAATTACACCAGTAACGTTTAGCGCATGCGCTAAATGGCTTTTATATTGTATTTGTAAAAATAACAATTATTATTAAAGCGTATTTCGCATTATTTTCCGCAGGATTAGAGTACTCGAACAATAAAGCAGTTAGGGCTCAGGTAGCTGATAGCTGGGCCCTAACCGAAATGCAAAATGCCAAATAACGCCAAGATCCTAAAGCCAAGTGTCTAAGCCGACTGTCTTTGAGTCGAGTTTGCCTCGGTTACGGCTCAGTTTGGTCCGCATCTGTGCCGAATTGTCGGTTTTCGATCTCCGATCTTCGGTTTGAGAACCGAGTTTACGACTCGCTTCTCTTTGTAGGTGGCACTTGAGGGTGTCGCCGACGGCGGCATCGATTCAAATTAAGATTTTCTTTTTTGGGCAAGTGTGCTGTGCAGCGTTTTCACCTTGTGGGATACATAAACACATGTACATGGTACATATATAGATCCGAGAAGGTAGGCTGGGGTGGGCCAGGGTCTTTAGCACAGGCGCCAGTTGTAAAAAGGCGGCTGGACAACTGGAACGTGCGATTGTCGACCCTTTGTCCCAGATTGATGCCCGAAACTGCTGGTGGCTTTCCCTGCACTTTCCACGCTCAAGTGTGGGTGTATTAAGCAGGGGGTACTTACCAAGCTCAGGTAGACGGTGTCCGAAGGTGTGTCTAATCAGCTGGCCGGACATCTGAGCCCGTTTTTATATCCCCCTGATCGAGCCTTTGCACTTGCACATGATCCACCGGATTTAATATCTTTATTCACCGATCCAGTGTGGGTTTAGGCGGGATTACTTTTTTAATACTTTAAAGGGAATCCGCTCGACACTTTTTATAGTGTCAGCAGACTTTTCCGCTCTAGGCTTTTATGTATAGTGTCAGGAAAACTAATCAAACTGAGACAGCCTATAGATTTCTAGAAGTTTATTTTAGTCTATATTTAATGATTTCAAAACTCATTTGCCTATTTTTCATTTTATTTCACTTGCAGATAGTAAAATCGACGATCGATTCCCTCACCACCACCGGTTTCGGCTGCACTTTGACGTCAAAAGCATTCCCGCCGAAGAAAAGCTGAAGGCCGCGGAGCTTCAGCTGACGCGAGACGCACTCAGCTTCCAGGCGGTGGCCAGGTCGACGTCTGCCAACCGGACACGGTACCAGGTGCTCGTTTACGACATCACCCGGGTGGGGTTGCGGGGTCAGCGGGAGCCGAGCTACTTGCTTTTAGACACCAAGACGGTGCGCCTGAACAGCACGGACACGGTCAGTCTGGACGTCCAGCCGGCCGTGGACCGGTGGTTGGCGGAGCCGCAGCGGAACTTCGGACTGCTGGTGGAAGTGCGGACCGTCCGCTCGCTGAAGCCGGCGCCGCACCCCCATGTGCGTCTGCGTCGCAGCGCGGACGAGGCGCACGAGCAGTGGCAGCACAAGCAGCCACTATTGTTCACCTACACGGACGATGGGCGGCACAAGGCGCGCTCCATCCGTGACGTGTCTGGGTCGGAGGGCGGTGGCAATGGGGGCGGAGGTGGCAAGGGCGGAAACCGGAACCGTCGGCACCATCGACGCCGCAAGAACCACGACGACACCTGCCGGCGCCACTCGCTCTACGTGGACTTCTCCGACGTCGGTTGGGACGACTGGATTGTGGCGCCACCAGGCTACGACGCGTACTACTGCCACGGCAAGTGCCCCTTCCCGCTGGCCGACCACTTCAACTCGACGAACCACGCGGTGGTGCAGATGCTGGTCAACGACCTAAACCCCGGGAAGGTGCCGAAGGCGTGTTGCGTTCCCACCCAGCTGGAGAGCGTGGCCATGCTGTACCTCAATGACCAAAGTACGGTGGTGCTGAAGAACTACCAGGAGATGACCGTGGTGGGGTGCGGCTGTCGATAGATTCGAGTGGCCAGCGACCGGCAGCAGGAACCGGAGCCGGTTCCCAGATTGAAGAGATAGCGAGAGCGAGAGAGCATCAAATGCTGTTTGGTTCCAAGCCGTCAATGCTTTAAACACAACGCAAACAAAATGGACTGAATATTTGAATTTTAAGTGTAAATCGTTAGACTTTAATCGTAACGTACGAGTATATATCAGGCTGCAGCCACGCCCCTACCCAGAAAGCCATCCACCAACCGCCCGAACGCCCACCCGCCCGCTTACCTTGGGGCTTCTGTCAGTTTCCCCAGCCAGGCTGGAGAAAACGCTAGATCAGAGCCGTATTCCCTTGGGAAATCAATAAAGGAAGAGAGCACGAGTCCACTGTAAATAGCCGCCACGCCCCCAAAAACACACGAACCCACCCGAATCTATCAGATACACGAGATCCCTCCGTATCCGATGGTGCGCTGCTGCTGTTCAAGAGGAAGCTTAGCGAAAATTCGACAGGGGGAGACCAATTGAACAAATTGTATAAAATTACTATTATTTAAAAAATACTATATCTGTGCGAATAATTAGTGTCTATGTAATTGTATGTGGAGAGAATGACGTTCTACTAGCCCTTTTGTTAATAATTTTATAAAGCGAATCCGTTGTAAATTAACTAGTTGCAGCATCAAAGCGGGAGTGCAAGAGGACGACGGAGCACATCCTGAAACTAGGTTCTGTAGCTATATGTATTAAACACTTATATACTTTATATGCAATGTTACGCAACTCACACAGAACACCACACATTCATCCGTAAGCATAAGCCAACATATCGACGAATCGGTATTGAACTTCGTTCCGAAATCAACTAAACGTAATTGTATAAATGAGGAAGCATATTCCTAAACAAAATATAAACGTATGGTCTATAAATATATGAAATACCAATTTACATCGTTATGCGTTCTAAGCTAAGCTCGAATAAATCCGTAAACGTTAATTAATACCTAGCCATTAAGCAGTAACAGTAAGCTCAGCATGTTGGATAAATTAATAGAAACAAAACAAAAAAAAAACCACAAAAATAAAATCTACGGAAGAGGAGTATCTATTCGTGCCTGATGTTGCAGAGCACGATTTGTATATGCAAACTTTTCACACAATATAAATTTTATTATTTTATTTATTTAAAAAAAGCAAAACATATGTTTGACGATGAAGAGAGCGAGAAGGAAAAGAAAAAATATAAAAGAAAACAATTTATTAAAAAAATCTAGCTGGTTTTTTATTTTTACGGGATAAAATAGGGTACATTAATAAAAAGAAGAGATATTTAAAGAGATATTTAAAGAGATATTTATTTCATAAAAAAGATCACTTTTGGTTCAAAAATAAAAATAATAAAAAACTTTAAATAAAAAAGTTTAATCCTTCGAGCCGGATTTGAACCAGCGACCTATGGATGCCTGCTCTGTGCTATTGCACCCGAATCTCTCACTACAGTCCACCGCTCTACCAACTGAGCTATCGAAGGTGATGAACGTCGAGGGGCGAACGGAAAACTTAGCTGGCTTATCTGAACGAAGAAAAAAATATATAAAAAAAAAAGTAATGCTTATCGCAGCATTAAACGAAGAAACAACACTGCCATAGGTATGCGTCCATACGTGTTACGATAACTGCGAATCGCAGTTTAGATTAAATAAAAGACTAGGGGCGAGTAAAAAATAAATAAATTGATATTAAACAAATCAGGTGGCGAAACCAAACGCGGAGCCACGACTCAACGGGTAATTTGTTGTCCGACCCAGTGCAAGTGACGCTAAAAAGCCAGATCGGGTGGAAGATAGCGATTCGATTGCATATCACCTTTCCTAGAAGCTGTCCAGCTTCGAACAAATTGCTGGCAAATGGAATGTCACAGAGCCATTGAATCTATTCGAACAGCTGAGTGAACTTAGATGCCGATAAGGCGGTCAACGTATTCACAGTGTAGTTCAACAAAACTTGAAAGCGAATTAGAATTACACAAGAGCCGGACAGTTTGGTTCCTCGAAGTGAGTAAAAAATAAATCAATGCTCTCTCAAGGTCAAAGTAAAATAATGAATTTAAAATACAAACGAGTACGAGAAGAACGGCTGATAAGAACGGGGCTTTCTCCGGACTCGGCTATTAATCTAAAAACGACCCTTTTCTAATTGTAGTCAGACCGATTGGAGTATTTACACTCCTCAATGAAACTAAGATCGAGATGCACGGCGTTCTCATTTCATCCGATTTCGAATCATGAAAGTGGTCGAATGAGTCACGCGGGGACCTTTTCCCCTCAAGGTTTATCGCAGAGGCAGAGCAGATTAATTTACACTGGTCATGCTGCAATGTGGCAAGTGTATTCTTCGGCTCAATTAAATGACTCATCAGGCGGCAATACGGGACTGCGAGCCACACACACAGCCGGGCGGACACCGAGAAGATAGAGTCCGCTCATGGGTCCTTGCCAAAAGCAGTGTCAGGCGGTCTTCCTCGGAACTTGGCAATTTTTTTCTTTGCCCTGCCAGATCCTGGCGATTGATAGGGGAACGCCCACTCTGAGGGACCGCTTTCCACTGACTGCTGGGAAAATTCATTCAATCAGCGGGAAATTAATACCCAGATCAAGAGCCAAGCCGACCAACTGATCGAAGTCGGGCGATAAGCAAAACAGGGTACTGATTTCGGCAGGGGCGGGGAGCAACTAGGCCGAGAGCCTGCTCCGAGTCATTCTTAAAAATTATGAACATTTGTTGTAACATACCTGAGCAAATTACAAAAAACACAGACCCTCGGACCTCGCCGCAGGAATCATCTTCCTTATCTAACAAGCCGTTTCGAGCAATCGATCGACACGCACACAGCCTAGCTCGGACCTTGCTCAATGGATCACACAAGCTGCCGCTCATGGCGCTAGCCCTCCTGCGCCCTCTCACCTGTCCCTGACCCGGCACCTGGATGTGCGTGTGTGTGTGTTTCTCTGGCTGTAATTATCCGTAAGCTGTCAGATATTTCGCTCAGCTTCCTCAAATGCACTTCTTGGCCAACATTTTTGACCAATAGCCAGTGGGTATCAGAGATGGCAGTCGAACCCAAAAATTATATTTTGGAAGATACTACTTCTTCTAATGAATGCTCTTTACTAACTTGAAACTATAAGAATTTTTAAAATAACATAGCTATCGAATTCGTAGAATATTCCAAACAAATACTATTGGGTCTAAAAATAAACCCTCCACTTGGACCGTCACCTTCGCATCTCTAATTTTTTAACACACATATAGAGAGAGGCAGATTCTCGTGTTTTCGGTGTCTTTTTTGTATTTTATGACTTGCCGCATTTTTTGGCATCCTAATTGGTTTGTTAAGTATTTCACCGGACTAGGCCTTTTGTCCCGGCCGTCCAAATTGGCCCTTTGGCTTATCGGAGCACACTTTGTCCGAGTGCTGCCACTGCCGGGGACCCTTCCAGGCCTCCAGGAGAGTTCTTCCCGCCACTTGACTGATAAGGCCGATCGTGCCTTCTGCGCGCCTGAGGCATGATTCACTTGCCGGCCCACAGGCGATGCTGATTGGAAACAGGCCATATATACAGCAAGTCCAGCTCCCTGGCGAGGATGACTCACGAGTGGCGTTTACTAGGTGGCCACGTTAATTGTCGCCCCGATACGCGTTGTCTTTGTTTACACCCGTTGCCGTCTTTTCATCTGTCTGAAAAAGAAGAAAACACAAAAGTCGAAAACCATCAGGCCTCACACTCAAAATTCACATTGCTGGCTCTGCATAAAAAGCAAAGGCCGTTTCCCCCACCCGTCAGCCAATAAACTAATTTCGGCTATTCCGATAAGTGGCGTTCGCTTGTGCTCTTCATGAACTCGTTTAGCAGCCGTCCATATATAGACCTTCGATAGCTCAGTTGGTAGAGCGGTGGACTGTAGATGATCGCAAGTGTAGAAATCCATAGGTCGCTGGTTCAAATCCGGCTCGAAGGAATCAATTTTTTTTATTTTAATTTTTTTATTTAACATTTTGTGGAAACAATTTTCAAAGAGGGGAAACATGAAATATATGAATAATTTAAAAAGTTTACTACTTTTTTTTATTTAAATAATATAATATCACACTTTTATGAATAATAAATTGTGGTTTTGTAAATTATAAAAGAATGTTTTTTATTTCTAACTTATTCTATTCTATCTATTGATATGGTTTAAAAATTTAAATTTCCATTAAAAAAAAAAAAAAAATTTTTTTGCTCAAAAAATCTTAAAAAATTAATTTTGGCAAAGACTATTTTATTAAGACTATTAAATTATATCAGCTATTTATAATCAATCATTCATTTCAACTATCGTGTAGAAAACTATCCCATTTCTTCGCTGTTGTCTCGAGAATACAGGTTGCCAAAACTTCAACTTCTTCGATTCCCCTAAGAAATGCACCGCGAAAATTTCGAATTTCGAAAAGAAACACTCGAGATCTGAAGCAGCTCATAAGAGAGAAAACAAATTGTAACAAAAAGTAAAGCCCTCAATTTGCATTTGTCCTCTCACAAAAGAACGGCCACAAAAAGCCGCAGTAATAACAACTGGCAACAAAGCCGAGGGGCACACATCGGCTGGCAAGTCCAATCCGGTCAGATGTCCTGCCGCTCTGGCTGCCGTTTTCTTTTCAATCTTTGCCCCGCCCTGTCCCCCACCCGTCTCCTCCCCTTCACCAATCCCATTCTCAACTTCATCCGCCTGCTCCTGGTCCTGATCCCAAAACAGATGCTATCAATACATCATTTGCCTTTGTGCGGCTGTCACAAATTCATTCACCTGTTCTCGGGCCACGACTTCATCATCGTCGGGCGTCCAGCGTCCAACGTCCGGCGTCCAAAGGAACAGCAGCCAGACAATTATACTGCGTTGATCTCCAATTAGGCTGTCGAAACTCCATTTACACGACCAACGGGCGTACCACAAAATATCAAGACTGTCTTTCATATAATAAGAAATATGAAGTCAGAAAGATACAAATGGAGAGAAGTACAGGGAACAGTGGATTCAACTCTCGTTAAGGTGCAAGTCATCATCGTCTCTCCTCCTCGGAGACCTCGGAACCATCATCATCCTCAGCCTTAGCCCCATTCCCATTCCCCATCGCCAGGTAAGTTAAGTAAATACAAATATGAATGAATTGCTCACCGGCTCGGGATCTGG